AGTTCTGCCTTTGGCATGAAAGCCGGCTGTGTGACATTGGAACAACCCCCAGGAGACGGCGAGTTCTAGTTCTGCCTTTGGCATGAAAGCTTTGGGTTTGGGCCAGTCATTCCTTCTCAGCTCACCCCACCTCATCACAGGGTTGTTGAAGGAAAAAGAGAAGGAAGATATATTTGATATGTTCTGTGCCTTGACTTACTTGTAAAGCAATAAAGGCAGGATTTAAAAAAACAGTAAAAGTAAATAAAATTGCATTAAGAATTTAACGCCGTCCTGAAGAACCAACCCTGTGCAGGTACTGAAGTCAAAATTGGCTCCAGATTGTTAGCAGGGATTTGGAAATGGGAACATATTGTTGCATAGTCAAAATAACGGTTATATTTGTTTTCCATGGACAACTTTAAAAGGTGTGTAAGGCAATGCAAACCCTTGGAGCTGAATCACAACCGGGTGTCAGATTTACTTTAGCACCAAGGACCAATTTTACGCGAGATTCTGGACTGAACTGACAGTTCCGAGATCACCCCAAGAAAATTAGGGGTGTTATGCTCAAGGCATTCAAATAGGAATAGGAAAGTCCAGCTCCCTCTCAGGGTCAGGCCAGGTTAGGAAATAAGAAATATTGAAATAGAAATCAGCATAGGATATAGGGGAGAGGATTACCATAGAATAAATTAGAATTAGAAATTGAATTAGAATGAGTAGGATAGGATAGGAATGATAGGAGGAGGATAGGACAGGACAGAATTCATTATTGGCCAGGTGTGATTGGACACAAAGAATTTGTCTCGTGCATAAGCTCTCCGTGTACATACAAACAACAAAGCGATATAATCATAAGATACCAATATGAGACGGTAACAGGAAATCATGGCTGGCTCAGGAATTCTGGGAATTGAAATTTACACATCCTAAAGGGGCCATAATCACCCAACCCTGATCTATCTCTTGTGATAGAATCTTGAAAAATGGTGGGCATTCTAACTTCTCTCCTCCTTCTGCCAAAGAGAATCAAGGCAGGGCAACCTTCCCTGTCTTTCTAACACCTTCCTTCTTTCCAGGGCTTAATCCAGATTCCGCTAGTTGCTGTAACCATCTCCGTGGTCCTCTACAACCAGGCCCCAAAACTCCCTTGCTTGTCACTCTCGCAGTCCAACCTACTTCAGAAGGTTCTGGTTGTGTGAAAAAAGGGAGAAGGTATTACTACTATGTATGCAGTCATCTTCCTGGAGGAAAGATAAATAAAGATAATAATATAAATCGAATAAATGGGACAGCTCCTAACCCTAATCCTGAAGAGAACTTCCAGGTTTATTTATATTTCATAATTCCTAATTGCTCATCTCCCTTCAGGTTTTTTCCCTCTACATTCTTACTGAAAAAAAAAATCTTGCCTTCAATCAATATTTCACTTTTTAATTGTTTGTCCTGCCTAGAAAGCTTCCTGAAACATTTCTAAAATAAACTTATTTTCCACCACCACCAAGGCATTTGGGCTTTATTTGCTACTATTTTGCTTTTTTTACAACTGCTTTTTCCTTTAGTCATTCTGTTATTTCATTCTCCAAACCTTTTTCAATCCATGTAAATCACCTGTTAATTTGGACTAAAATACAGGTGGGGCAATTTTTGATTTAATTTGCTATGGAAAACCCAACCACCATCTACAATACACACATTGGGGGGGAAATGCCACACTTTTAAGCCCTTATCTATCCCAGCTTAACATTCAGTGTGAACAGAGGCCTACTAATCTATCACTATTGTTGTATGTACACTGAGAGCTCATGCACAGGAGACAAATTCCTTGTGTGTCTGTCTAATCACACTTGGCCAATAAAGAATTCTAATTCTAAATTTGTGCAAGCCCAAATGTAGGATATCCCCATACAGGAAAAAAAAAAACAAGGCTCAAGTACCAAAGTCAGCCTAGCCTGTTTTCAGCCATGCACAAACAACCTACAGACCATGGCTAAACCATATCTTTCAGCAGCAAGGAGACTCTAATAGATGTTGGTAAATGTTATTCCCCCAAACCACAGCTGGGCCTTTTCCATCCTAAGGCACAGCATCCAAAACCGAAACCTAAGGGCAGGGAGTAGCAAGCAAACTCTGGCTGCTCTCCCAAAACGAAGGTTAATTATTTTTATTTTATTTAGCATATATGGAATCTCTCTACAGACCTCATGCAATCACCAATATGCAAACACTAACAAAACACATTATACACACAGACACAAATGTAAGTTTAAGGGGAGAATCAGACTCTATGGCACCATATTATGGCAATCTTATTATGGTTCTACCTTAATTTAATACTTTATCTCATATATTGTACTATACACAGGTTCATGTGTGTATGCAACACACACATATGTACGTGCATATACATATATATATATATACACATATATACATACACACCACACACTTATATAAATACATGAATATATATGCACACACATATATTATGCAGATATACATACATGCACACACACACACACACACACACACAGTGATGCTCTACTAAGGTTAATCCCTGGAAAGGAGACCACCAGGCAATCCCAGATTGCAGAGTCAGCTGACCTCGAGCCAGACAATACCAGGAAGTGACAAGGCTGGACCCAAAAGGAAACTTCCCCCTCGAGGGCAGAGACCCCCGTCCCCCCCCCCTCTTTCGGGCCACGCCCACCTCTGGCCCGGAAGCCCCTCCGCACCCCCAGCTAGCGTCCCCATGGTTCGGCCCGAACAACCCCCCCTCGCCAGCGTCCCCATGGTTCGGCTCGGGCATCCCCCTTCAGCGTCCCCATGGTTCGGTCCGCGTAGCCCCCACCCCCACCCCACCCCAAGCCTACTGGTGTCTCTCCATGGTTCAGTCCCAGCACACCCCCGCCGGTGTCTCCGTGGATCGGCCCGAGCACCCTCAGCCAGCATTTCCATGGTTCGGTCCGAGCCACCCCCCTCCACTGGTGCCTCCATGGTTCGGTCCGAGCAACTCCCTCCCCCTCGCCGTTATGCCCACTCGCCCGCCGCGTCGTGTCTCACCCAGAGACATGTCGATTTTTTCCAGCGTTTCTCCACCGCCGCTGCTGCTGCTGCTGCTGCTGCCGCCGCCTCTTTGGAGCGAGGACGCCCCAGCGCCGAATCCGCTCATGGCCGCCGTCGCCGTCGCCGCCGCCGCCGCCGCTGCTGTTCTCGTCGCCATCCCAGACGCGAACCAAAGCAGCAGCCGACGGAGAGGGGGCGGGGGTCCCTTTAAACCTTCGGCGCATGCGTCAGTCGAGGCTGGCGCCTGCGCATTCGGGTCACGGCTGAACCAGAGCAAGCCAACCGCTTCGGCGCGTGCGCGTAGCGGCCGAAGCGGGGCGGGTGGCGGAGACGAGCTTCGTTGGTCTGGCTTCTCCGCATGAGCAGGGATTGCGACGCTAAGCGGCGAAAAAGCATGTGGAAGGAAGCCCCCTGCCCCCTGCAGGCGGGGAGGACTCAACGCAGCCAGGACCTGGCTAGTATATATATAGCTCAGCATGGTTTATTTTGACTGAGTTTAAACCAGGGTTTAAATCAGCAGCACCACGATGTTACCTAGTTTGGTTAACCAAGCGTGCCTAAGCACACCAACGTGCCTGTCCTATTGTTTCTTTTATTTTTATTTTTTTATTTTTCTCATATGTATCCTTGTATTCATAACTATGGTTTTACTTATACCTATTATCTTGTAAGCAATTGACAAAAATAAATAAATAAAATAAAAATAAGTAAATAAAAAGCTCAGAAGGACCCTGAGCTACAAAATATTCTCCTTTATTGAAACCAGGGTTTCTTTGAAAATCCATTTTGTTCAATTCCCAGAATGCCCTACTATCTTACTTAAGAGGTTCATCCATCTTAAAGTTGAGAAAAACTTTTAGTGTTGTATATACCGCCTGGGATCACTGTGTGAGTTGGCTGGCTGTGCAAAATTCTAAAATAATAAATAAAACAATTAAAAACAGGCATAGACAACTCATTTAACCTATGTGAACTGAATCATGGTTTATTCAACTGTTGCAGTTTTCACAATGAAGGCCTGCTGGCTAGGTGGCTTGTTAATTCTCTTTTAATAGGTGACACAGAGGTAGGTTATAATTTGTGTGTGTGTGTGGTTTCCCTGATAAACCGGTTGCCTTTTACATTAGGTTGGGCAATTGATCGAGGTATAATATTGTGTATTTATTTATTAGTCAAAAATATATATGGCCACCCATCTCATGGAAAGTAAGTCTGGGTGGCTTATAATAACCTAATAATAGATAAAACTGTCCAGAGAGCTTGATAATAAGTGCTAGATAATAAGATGGGCAGCATATAAATTCAAAAAATAAAAGTATAAAACAATTGTTACCAAAAAAAACCCCATAACGCATAATTATTAAAAAATTAAAAACTATAGAAGTGTTGAAAGGCTGGAAAATGCCTTTCTTCTGAGGGCTCGATTTTCCTGCTGGGAGGGCTCTGGTGCAAGGACACAGACAACTGCTTGGACGCTGGTTCTTTTTATTTTTCAGGAAGGCAAGAGATAGCAAGAAGTCTGCGTTTCTGGGGCTAGCCATCTTTATATAATAAACCCCTGATTTTTATACCTTTTCTCCTTTTGTGTGTGTGTGCTTGTGTTTGTATTTCTTAATGTTTTAAATCCTGTCAGGGGTTGTCTTCATTTCCGCCAGAGGGTAAACTTCGTGGGGGTGGTTTGATTGGATTATCAGTTTCGTCCTAATGTTTTCTTATATTTGTTTTGTGGCAATCTCCTGTCTGTCTCCTTTGCAATATATTTTGTGTCTATTTGTTTTGCTGATTTGGCATGACCTGTTGTTTGTAAGGGATTCCTTTTTCTTGTTTCCCTAGCTTTCTTAATTACTTGGCTTTTCTCTAGGGGGCTTCTTTCAATACCTTTTATTAAATCTCTTTTCCTATGCAAGTTTGTTTTATGGCTGGCCTGATGTTCCCTTTGGGCTTTTCCTGCTTGGGTGTCACCACTGTCCTCATGAAGTTCCCTTTCCACAGAAGCAGAACTAAATAAAAAAAAAAATAGACAGTGGGATATCCATAATAACGGAACCATAATCATTTTGTGAAAGCTTCCCTGAGTCATTCTGGCATCCTGAGAGCCTTGAATTATTACAAATAGCGACAAAAGCTCGACTAACAGGGTTAGGTTTAGTTTAGTTTACTCTGTCATTGCACCTCGTACAATGAAAGTCATCTTCAATGTACATTATGACTATGAAAATAAACACAAGCACACATCCTTCTCATTCTAGACAATTGAGTTGAAAACCCCTGATATTGCATTAATATTGCATTCTGCAGTAGAATTCAGTAGAGTTACTGCCCTGGGATAGAAGCTGTTTTTCAGCCTATTTGTCGAGGACTACTCCTTGACTTACAACCGTTCTTTAGTGACTGAAGTTACAACGGCCCTGAAAAAAGGTGACTTTTGAGTGAAGGCAAATGAAGGAAAAGTGACTTATAACTGTTTTTCACACTTAACAACTGTTGTTCACCTGATCAATATTCAGACACTTGGCAATTGGCTTGTATTTATGACCGTCGCAGTGTCCCCGTGTGTGTGTGTGTATCACGCGATCCCCTTTTCCGACCTGCTGACAAACCAAGTCAGATTCACTTAACGTCCATGTTACTGGAGGATCAGATGGTGGAACGTATGTACAGATGAGGACCAGGGGTGGCCTTCAAAAATTTCAGCAAGCGTTTCTCTGCCCGGTTGCTGGGTGGGCGTGGCCATGTTGGGTGTGGCCTATACTATGGCTGGTGGGGGGCGTTTTTGTCCTCCCCAGGCTCCGGAGACTTTCCTCGAGCCTCCAGGAGGGTGAAAACAACTTCCCCGGACTCCAGAGGCCCTCTGGAAGCCAAAAACGTACCTGCATCAAAAATGGGTCGCATGGGGACTCCTGTGAGGAGAGGGGCAGAGTGGGCAGGGCCAGACAGAAGTGGGATTTGGGCAGGATAGGGATTCAAATTTCTTAACAACCAGTTCTGTGGGTGTGGCCTAATTTGTGGATGTGGCTTGGTGGTCATGTGACTGGGTGGGCGTGGCTTGCTGACTAGGCGTGTCTTGGTCACATGACTGGATGGGCATGGCTTGTATGTAAATATGTAAATATTGATATTTTTTTAAAAAATAAAAAAGAGCAACTTTTACCCAACATCAGGCAAAGCAGCTAGGCAGATTGAGTTGCTCACAGAATCACAGATTCACTCAGAGATCTAGCATTCTGCAATCTGCTACCTGAGTCTGTCACATAAAATTTGCTTGCAAACTCATAAAATTTGCTAGCAAGCAAACTCACAAAATTAACTCCCAACACACCATGTATATAAATATTGAATTTTTTATTTAAAAAAAGAGCAACTTTTACTCAAAATCAGGCAAAGCGGGCAGGCAGATTGAGTTGCTCGCTAAAATCACAGATTCACTCAGAGATCTACCTTTCTGCAATCTGCTACCCGAGTCTGCACTGAAAAATAGACACTTCAGTCCTAAGGAAGGCTCAGTTCTGCTTTTAGATAAGCTAGAAAGCAAAAAATCCAACCATTTCCTGCTTTCTAGCTAATCTAAATCTCCCGGCACAGCAAAAGAACTGATAGTTGGGTGGGGGGAGGAAAAATAGCGTCTTACCCAAAATTAGGTGAAGGCACAATGCAGGCAAGTTTCATGGCGCGCATGCCAGGTAAGGAGTTAAGTGGGTGGGGTGGGGATAGCCAGTGGCGCGATTTGCTGGTTCTCCGAACTGCACAGAATCATAACAACCTGTTCTATAGAACCGGTCTGACCAGGTAGAATCCCACCCCTGGATTTGGGGGTTTTCTGAACTGCACAGAATTTTAGTTAGGGGCTCTCCCAAAACCCTGCGATCCCCCAGTGGCGGGATTCAATTTTTTTTACTACTGTGGGCGTGGCTTGGTGGGAGTGGCTTGGTGGGCATGGCAGGGAAAGTTACTGCAAAATTCCTCTTCCCTCCCCACCCCACTAACCTGCTTTTCAGCTCCGTTCTCCTCTGCAGGGCAACCAAAGAAGATTCAGCCGATCAGCTGGGACTCAATGGGAGGCAGAGAATAGGAGCGAGCGGGGCCAATCAGAAGTGGGATTTGCCGGTTCTCCGAATGACTCAAAATTTCTGCTACCGGTTCTCCAGAACTGGTCAGAACCGGCTGAATACCACCTCTGAGCCTACCCCTCTGAGGATCAGAGGAAGGGTCATAGGTGGAGGTAGGGCCCAGGTGTGGATGGAAAGGACACGTGAGTGAGGAATATGAATTCTGATTTTTTAAAAAAGCATCTTTTTGCCTTAAAACAGACAATTCAGCAGCTTTGCTCCGTCCTGTCTTCTCTTTCTGCAAAGGAGGAGGTGTGTGCTGCCTCGAGCTGCTCTGCAATAGGACGCGGGTGGAGTTGCACGTGCGTAGAGAGTCAGAAGTTAGCACCTCACCTGTTAGAAAATCACTAGCCAGTATATTAGCAACAAGAATAGCTCGCTTATAAGAACCGCCCCCCCCCAAAAAAACCCCACATAGCTGGCTGTGATAGTAATCACAAAACAACTGGAGACACGTGAACAATATAGAAGAGCTTTATTAAGCTTTTGCAAAAGGAAATTCATGGCTGGGATTTATATACAGGTTCAAATATACAGTCTCTGCCCCTTTCCTGGGTTCCCAATCGATCCAAGCTACGTATCTCCCTACGCAACACCCATAATTATTGTAGTGTAACACCTGTTTCCTTGCCCTTGGAGACTACCCTCGTTCTCATGGCTTCTTCTTCCTGTTATGGTCCTGTTATGACCATCTGTAATACAATAGATCATTAACCAGTTCCTTTTGGGTGAGGATAACGTAGTATCTCCTATACCAGGGGTAGTCAACCTTTTTATACCTACCACCCACTTTTGTATCTCTGTTAGCAGTAAAATTTTCTCTAACCGCCCACCGGTTCCACAGTAATGGTGATTTATAAAGTAGGGGAGAAAACCCCTACCGCCCACCATGTAAGCTGGAATGCCCACTAGTGGGCGGCAGGGACCAGGTTGACTACCACTGTCCTACACATATCCTTATGCCAAAAAGTACAGGCCCATATTCTACCCAAAAGCCTCACATTTACTTTAGAACATAATACGTTACAAAACAATACATGTTTATTAGATATAATTATATAACCGTCCAATAATCATGGCATAGTTCAAATATTGGATAAATATGGCTTCCCTTCTCT